TCGGCCCGGCCGAGGTGAGGGGTCGCCGGGACGGGCGGCGGGGCCGATCCGCGGCTTCAGATCGGTAGCGAAGCAAAGGCAGCTGCCGCTACTGCCCAGCGTGAGGGGGTGTTGTTTCTTTAACGTTTTTGTTTAAAGCTGGTCGCTCTGAGACGTTTGCGTATGTTGCACGCAAGCGGTGAGGGCATGTGCAGGTGTTCTCACTCCTGGGTTGGTAGGAACATCGGTTTGAATGCAGAGTCCTTAAAAAGAAGGCAAAGGCTCTGAGACCACAGATGGGAAATGTGGTCTCAGCGGTCCCTGCGATCATTTTCTGTTACGAAGTTTAACTTACCTTGATAGAATTTTTTTTGGAGAACAGGACCAGATCCGAAGGTGTAGTCCCGTGACAGTCTCTCTCTGGCTCCCTTGAATTAGTAATGCTTGTCCCTCTTAGCATTAGGATGCTTTATTCGATTTGCATGGCAAGGATGTGATAGCAGAAGGGTTACAGGGGTGGCCTCTGTGAGAAGCTGCCAGAACTTTTCTTCGTGTCTGACAGAGCCAGTGCCAGCTGGCTCCAAATGGACCAGCCACTGGCCAGGGCCAAGCCCATCAGTGACGGTGGCAGCACCTCGGGGACGACAAGTTTAAGAAGGTGAAAAACTGCTACACAACAGCAGCCCGAGGAGAGAAGTGTGAACATGAGAAAAACAGCCCTGCAAACACCAGGATGCAAAAGGAGGGAGAGAAGATGCTCCAGGTGCTGGAGCAGAGATTGCACTGCAGCCCATGGTAAAGACTGTGGTAGAGACGTGTGTGTTGCAGCCCAAGGAAGTCTATAATAAAGCAGGTGTCCACCTGCAGCCGGTGGAGAACCCCAGCCTAGACCAGTTAGATGCTCAGAGAAGGCTGTGACTCCATGGAGAGGAGCCCATGTTGGAGCAGGCTCCTGAAAGGACCAGTGGGACTCTGTAGACAGGAGCTCACACTGAAACAGGTTTTCTGGCAAGACTTAGGACCCACATTTGAACAGTCTGAACAACTGTACCCCATAGAAGGGGCCCATGCTGGAGCAGTTGATGAAGTACTACTGAGTTTACTTGGGATCTTGTGCTGGAGCTGGGGAAAGTGTGATTGCGACCTCATTTCCTGACCCCCTATTCCATTTAGGGGGGAGAGGTACAGAAGTTGATAGTGAGTGAAATTGACCCCAGAAGGAAGGGAAGGGCGGGGG